TTGGCTTGTGGAGCAAACATCCAACAAGCCTGGTAATGGTAGGGACAGATTTCTGTGGGCTAAAGTAAATGTACCACGTAAGGTGGGCCATGGTTCCGCAGAGATTGTTGGCAATGGTGTACAGTTGGTGTTCCTTAAGGAGAAGTTATGTAATGTCCATCATGTGTCACTGACTGTAGATTCTACTCCGATCATGTCTAAATGGTGAATTATCTCCACTCCGGACCACCAACCCAACATATCTCATAATTACTGGCCCAGTGGGCAAAAGCCCCCTTGCCCCCAGGTCATAACTTCACAGGTATTAACTTTGTGCAAGTCTATATGACAATAGGAAGGTTCCCAGCACCCATATGGCCCACATTTAGTAAAAATGGACCTCTAAGTCCCAGAGGGCTCTTGTGCAGCTGTATAGTCTGCACACATGGCATGTCCATCCCAGCACTGGGGCAAAGACACAACCTTTCCCAAAATAAAATGGCAGGCCATCAGGGCATTTGCCAAAGATGATATGGGAATGCCATAATGCTCCAAAGCAGGTCCTGTCCATACTTCAATTAATGCTCTGTGCTTGGATGCAACATCAGCATCTGCAGGGAGGTTACTCAACCAAAAGCATGTCCAGTAGAGGATGAGATCAATGTCTGCGCAATCTCTTTAAACATGTTACAATTCAATTGAACAATCTCCGTTGGATTCACCCTTAAGATACACTTTATTAATTTCATTAAAGATCACATGACCCCCCAAAATACGGACGTCTCTCTTACCTGATGTTGGTGTCATGGGAGCGGCGGCCAAGCCGTTCATGTTCAGGGCTGCCATCTGTTGCATCTGGGCGGCCGCGAAGGCAGCCATGGGGTTCAGGTATCCACCCTGTGCGACCGAAGCCATAATAGCGGCCTGTTGCTGCATCAGCTGGAAGAAAGAGAACAGCGAAAAAATATCACGAGTTACCATAAACACGAGGTACCCCCCAGGACCCCCCCCCCCCATCCCAAACATTGGACAGAAAGATCACCAAGTGTAGGAAGTGATGTCATTAAAGGAAACCTGTTATGATATCACTATGGGAGTTGCCATGACTGACCTGGGTTTTGGGTGTGGGTTTGTCATATTCATCCTCCCCCTATTCAAAATGACAGAAGTTTTGGCTGGAGCTGTGGCTATAAAAAAAAACTCCACCTTCGTATTGTTCAACCAGCCCCGCAGGTCTGCAGGAATGCTCAAAAACCTTTGATGGGCTGCTAAAGTAAACTTTAAAAGAACAAAAACATTTGATACATTCTTAGTTGATTGGTAGCTGTGAGGTTAGTGGCCACCTTATCATGTGTGATGTGGAGCAGTACATGGTGCCAGCTGTGAGGGTCAGGCTGCACTCCACCACAATTCAGTGAACTGTGAGAAGCGAATATAAAAACAGAGATCAGGCAGTTATACTAGTTCATTTTCAATGTAACACATTCCTTGCCTCTGTAATTAACTTATAGGGGTCTGTTTATAAACAATTCATCCTTAGAACATCTGTGAACATTCATTCTGTGGGAATAATGAAAAAAATTAACATTCTTAATATATGTATATAGGATTACCTAATGCCATCATACCAGTCACATGATTAGGGTTGGAGTACCCAATGCCATTATACCGGTCACATGATTAGGGTTGGATTACCTAATGCCATCATACCAGTCACATGATTAGGGTTGGAGTACCTAATGACATCACACCAGTCGCATGATTAGGGTTGGAGTACCTAATGCCATCACACCAGTCGCATGATTAGGGTTGGAGTACCTAATGTCATCATACCAGTCACATGATTAGGGTTGGATTACCTAATGCCATCACACCAGTCGCATGATTAGGGTTGGAGTACCTAATGCCATCACACCAGTCGCATGATTAGGGTTGGATTACCCAATGCCAGCGTACCAGTCACATGATTAGGGTTGGATTACCCAATGCCAGCATACCAGTCACATGATTAGGGTTGGATTACCCAATGCCAGCATACCAGTCACATGATTAGGGTTGGATTACCCAATGCCAGCATACCAGTCACATGATCAGGGTTGGATTGCCATATATTTTTCAGCACCTGAATGATTCCCTTTAATTGTTATAACCAGGCAAGCTGACTTGTTAGCTATAGGTCTGCTTTATGTTCCCCCGGGACACAGCGCTTGTCATAAGTTAGTTCATATATGTCTAAATGTATTTAAATTGTCATAGAACGTTGCAAGGCGAATGGCTGCCAGAACCTTATTAAAAAGAGAGGAGAAGCCTTGGCATTCGACGGCGGCCTGGCGCGAGGAGACGTCTTAAATATACATGAGAATCTGGATCCTCTGCCCAGCGCACCCCGACAACAAAGCACAGCCTGGTGTCCCAGTATGCAATGGAGTATGCATTCCAGCCATGAGTGCAACAGCAGTCTGTGCCCTCCGGCTGCCTGTCTGTTCATCGCCCGCTCGCTGTGCCAGCCGGGGTGCGTTTGTTTTTCAGATTCAGCGCCTGGGTGCAGATGTAGACTGGCATGGTCAGAGCGGCAATGATGGGAAGCACCCAAACCCCGAACAGTACCAGCTCACGGAACAGCCGTCATAATGGTTTATTACACACGGGCTCAGAAATGAGGGGTGTAAATACTCTGATAACAGAGAACAGTTCTTTTTTATTTTATCACCAATTGGGTTTTCAGGTTTCTCCAAACAAATGAAAATTAAAAAAATAGGTACAATGTTAAAGAGACCGCCACTGAACATGTCAACTGTCAAAATGTCAAAAATAATGACTTCATACAGAGCAGAGAGACAAGGGCAGGAGAGTGGTTGGTTGAGTCATTGGGACTCATGCAGCTGTGTGTTTATTCTGAGCTTCATCTATTGAGCTCTTTTGTTTTCAGCAAAGCAGTTAGGATTAGCCAGATCAACATGCGAAAACAAGCCTTCCAAATCAAATGTATAAAACTGGTGTGGAGAGGAGAGAACTGTCAGGAGGCCAAGTAGGGCAGTGCGGGGAGGAGAGACCTGCCAGGAGGCTGAGGGGAAATGTGCAGGGAGGAAAGACCTATCAGGAGGCCAACTAGGGCAGTGTGGAGAGGAGAGAACTGTCAGGAGGCCAAGTAGGGCAGTGCGGGGAGGAGAGACCTGCCAGGAGGCTGAGGGGAAATGTGCAGGGAGGAAAGACCTATCAGGAGGCCAACTAGGGCAGTGTGGAGAGGAGAGAACTGTCAGGAGGCCAAGTAGGGCAGTGAGGGAAGGAGAGATCTGTCAGGAGGCCAAGGGGAAATGTGCCGGGAGGAGAGATATATGAGGAGGCCAAGTAGGACAGTGCGGGGAGGAGAGACCTGTCAGGAGGCCGAAGGGAAATGTGCAGGGAGGAAAGACCTATCAGGAGGCCAAGTAGGGCAGTGCGCAGAGGAGAGAACTGTCAGGAGGCCAAGCGGGGCAGTGCAGAGAGGAGAGACCTGTCAGGAGGCTAAGGGGAAATGTGCAGGGAGGAGAGACCTATCAGGAGGCCAAGTAGGACAGTGCGGGGAGGAGAGACCTGTCAGGAGGCCGAAGGGAAATGTGCAGGGAGGAAAGACCTATCAGGAGGCCGAGCGGGACGGCATGGGGAGGACAGCTCAGCTCCGGCTAAAGGCAGGATGAGGCAGAGAAGTCAGGATGGAGAGCGGAGCACAAAAACAAAAAAATACATACAAAAATACATTAAAAAAATAAAGAAAAAAATAAAGAATAATAATAATAAATATATATTGCGTCTGAGGGTATATGTTAACCTAATGCATCAGCACCTGGGATGATCTAATCTGTGGTTATTTTGGCGTTTTTTGGAAGGTGAGGGTAGACTGCAGCCGATCCTGCCATCGATCAATGATTGGTCTGAATGCCATCAGAAGCGATAAAATAATAAAAAATAAAAAGTTCTGCTCCCACCTCGGCTCCTTCCAGCAGAACGGCGTCTTTTGTGTCCCAGGTGAAATCACCCGTGAAATGCTGAAATCGGCGGGTCTTTAAATAAAAGGCGCACTTGTAATGGAAGCAATGCCCTGTACATTAGCCTTTATGAACTGCAAATGGCTGCATGAGCCCTCCTTCATGAACTCGACACTTGAATGTGGAAGGTACATTAGGAAGGCACACTCAAGGCTAATTACACCCATTATGTCCACACTTTCAGCAGCACAGGAAAAAAAAAAAGAAAGAAAGGCGATGCAGCTTTTACGATCCTGCAGAGCCCGGAAAAGTGGGGAGGGGAGAGACAGCAAAACGCGGACAAGTGTTTCTTCAAGAAGCCGTACGAGGCGGCCTGTCACTGAACCCATTGTGTGCAAAATAAAACTACATTTAAAGGGCATGTCCAGGCATTGCACCAAATCCCCTCCCCCCCCCCAGATCATATCCCAGCATTTTATTTAATCTGTATCTGTATTTTTCCCTGTGATGTCATCAACAGGCTTGTAACATTCTCGCATGTGCAGTTCCTATTGATGTAGGCTCACCCCCTGAACAACATCTCCCAAGAGCTTTTTTCCTACACACAGTAGATCGGTGGGCACTTGAGAGTCAAGGCAGCAGCATTGTTTGCCTGGAAAATAAATCACTGTATACATGTGGAGATGGGCAGACAGAGGTGGGGGATGGGAGGAGTCCTGTAGTCCAGCAGGCAGGCCTGACCGCGCTGCTTGGGATTTCAGTGCTGTGTTGTCAGCCCAAAACAGGAAGCTAGGAGCTCACTGGATTTCAGGCAGGTTAGCGTGTGTTTGCAGAGGGTTTAAAGGGATAGAAAGTGGGGAATTTTGGATGTATTGTAGTATGGTTTAGTTTTTGGATAGAGTGGAGAGGAATTGTAACCCCTGTCGTGTTTTTATTGCTGTCTGTGTCCCCGTTAGGAAGATTCATCCTCTTTATTTGTCCTGGTGAAGATCCCATATTTTGGGTTAGCACCACAACAGGAATAGATGGGAACTCTTCCAATGAGAACAGTAGTTGCTATGTCCACAGTCTCTAGCTGTCTCCTGTAACATGTCCCCATCTTTATCCATCTCATATGGGTTGGCACCAGAGCAGGAATAGATGGGACATCTTCTAATGGGGACACTAGCTCCAATGTCTCATGAACCATGTCCACCATTTCTAGTTGTCTTCTGTAACATGTTCATCATCTTTAGCTGTCTCCAGTAGCATGTTCATGGTCTCTGGCTGTCTCCAGTGGCATATCCACAGTCTCTAGTGGCCTCCTGTAGCATGTCCACCTTCTCGAGCTGTCCACTGTAGTCTCTAGTTGTCCCTGTAGCATGTCCACCATCTTTAGCTGCCCCCTGTAACATGTCCACCATCTTTAGCTGTCCCCTGTAACATGTCCATCATCTTTAGCTGTCCCCTGTAACATGTCCACCATGTTTAGCTGTCTCTGTAGCATGTCCACCATCTTTAGCTGTCCCCTGTAACATGTCCACCATCTTTAGCTGTCCCCTGTAACATGTCCACCATCTTTAGCTGTCCCTTGTAGCATGTCCACCATCTTTAGCTGTCCCTTGTAGCATGTCCACCATCTTCAGCTGTCCCTTGTAGCATGTCCACCATCTATAGCTGTCCCCTGCAGCATGTCCACAGTCTAGCTGTCTCCTGCAGCATGTCCACAGTCTAGCTGTCTCCTGTAGCAAGTTATTGTCAGTCACTTGTAGCTTTCCATATACTGAACATTATATAGGGTCATACTTGAGGGCCCCAATATACAGTAGGTCGGCACACCATGGGCATAAAGTAGAAATATGATCGTCGCTGCAATCATTTAATGGCTTTAATAGTCTAATCAAATTTGCAAAAATCTAACCACAAGTCGTTTTATTGTTATTATCCTGATTGATTCTTTTTAGGACTAGTTGGATTTTTTGCTTTCTTTTGATCTTTCTGAGTGTGCAGAAAATTATTGCGTTTAGCATGGAATGAGTGTGCAGCACACAATCACCAGCCTAGCATATTCCTATTCACTTATCGCCATGTAACTCAACATTCTTCAGACCTTTTCTTTGGCTCTCTCCATTGTAAAGCATCATGTGAGTACCAGTTACAGATATACTGTATATACTCCAACCCTTCCTTCCTCTCTGGAAAGCACAGAGCAGTGAGATTTCTGCACACAGCTCAGGGTCCCTCCTGGTTGTGTCCTGTGTGACAGCCGAGCTCGCTGTAAGCCAGGCGAGGGCAGCGCACACAGATTGCACGGGTAAAGTTCTGACAAGACTCGTTAGGAATTTTGGCGTGCCCCCTCTCAGGGGGTTCAGGCCGCATTTTAGGCTATCACATTCTATTTGCTTGCTGGAAGAGTCAGACGCAGGGCATACTAATTCGCTGTGATGGTTTTCTATGTAATGATCTGGAGGGGAAGGCTTTGCTCCCAATGAGAAGTCACTTCATGTCATTCTGAAGCCGGCCACATAATTTCCAATGTACTTCGTGTCCCTGGGATTTGTAAATAAACTTTGTAGCCAGCCAATAACCTCTTATGAGCGGGAAGCTGAGGGCAACATATTCTTGAAGGGCCCATTCACACCAGGGCTCTCCATTGTGGTGCATTTAATGCTTGTATGTTAATGAGCGCTTTGTTGACTGATCTGCTTTGTGTTAAGGTCGCCCATTCGTATGAATGCATGTATGTTGGGATGCCCTCCACAATGAACGGCTCCAGAGTGCACATACGCACACATTCATTACTACAATGCCATGGTGTTAATGGGCCCTTAAAGTGTAAAACAAATATTCCCTGCCACTCACATCAACCCAGGCCCGGCGCTACCGCAAAGCAAGTCAGGCGGCCGCCTGAGGGCGCTGCAGGGTGAGGGCGGAAAAAACAGGGCATTTTGACAAGTACTTGTCAAAATGCTTGCGTTATGTTTTTTTTTTCCACTTACCTTCGGTGCGGGAGAGCAGCAGCGAGTCAGCGCTGGTCCAGTGGGAGGTGCTCCAGGTGGGGTCCTAATTTAGCTGGCCGGCGACTGCCAGAGGATCCCGACACGCGCGGCACCTCAGGCAGTCGCCGGCCAGCTAAATTAGGACCCCACCTGGAGCTCCTCCCACCGGACCAGCGCTGATTTGCTGCTGCTCTCCCACGCCGAAGGTAAGTGAAAAAAAAACAAACCATAGCGCAAACATCGGGACATTTTGACAAGTACAAGTACTTGTCAAAATGCCCTGTTTTTACAGGGGGGAGGGGGCGCAAAAATGCACCTTGCCTGTATAGGCAAGAATCCTAGCACCGGCCCTGCATCAACCTTCAACTCAGAAGTAAACGGGGATTCCAGCAAGTCATGACCTGTGACATCCCTGCCACTACCACCATTCCGAATTCAGCACTATGGACAGCACAGTCACATGCTCATTAAAGGAGAACTATGGCGTTAGGGCTTTTCCCCATAGTTCTCCTAAGGGTAACGGGAGGACACAAACTAGCGTCCTCCCGTCACCCTAAGCTCAGTATACCGCGAGCTACTGCTCATTATATACTGTGACCGCCGCAGCCGGAACAGATCTCGACAATTATGTCTGGATCCGCCCAGCTGCGTGAGTGACAGCTGGCTCTGCCTATCTAGAGGCAGAGCCAGCTGTACCCGCCCCCTCCCCCGTCCGTTCCGCCAGTCAGCGCTGGAGGATGAGCGGGGAGGGGGGAATCCAGTCCCTCCCCTGTCACGGCTCTCTGCCGGCACAGGATCGAGAAGTGAGTGAGCGCCGGCATGTGTTCGCTCACCTCCCGATCTACTGAGCCGACCTGTGACAGTCTCATTGTCACAGGTCGGCTAGAACTATGAGGTGAGTGAAAATTACTCACCTCATAGTTCTCCTTTAGAGGAGTATTAAGAGGCGAGTGATTTTCACTCAGCCTCATAATCTGAGCCGACCGGTGACAATGACAATGACAGGTCGGCTCAGTAGATCGGGAACCGAGTGAACACATACCGTCGTTCGCTCACTTTTAAATCTATCCCTGCAGAGAGCCGTGACTGTCAGTCACGGCTCCCTGCAGGGATTCCCCGAGTCCCCTGTCCGATCCACCAGCGCTAACTTGCAGAACGGACGGGGGAGGGGGCAGGCACAGCTGGCTCTGCCTCTGGATAGGCAGAGCCAGCTGTCAATCCCGCAGCTGGGTGGACCTCGATGGCACACTGTCCTTACTGTCCATTAAAGCAAAACTGAAGGATCAGGGCCATCCCCATAATGAGGCAGTTGCCTCAGGCAGTATGTTATTGGGTTACATGAGGGGGTGACAGGCTTGCCTGCCACCCTCTTTCCAGCCAGCACGTCCCAGGTTGCTAAGAGCTCTTAGTAACCTTTGGCACTCTGGCCGGCGACCCGCCCAGATCACGGACATCACCGGCTGCCAGGAGCTGAGCGGGACGTTCTGGCTGCCATCCTGCCCAGCTCCTGGCAGCCAGTGATATCAGTGAACTGGGAGGGATGTCAGAGGCACCATCAATACCACCTACCTAGTAATGTGAACATCCCATCAGCACTATCCCCCCATTCGGTTATATTCCTAACCATTGACAACCCCTGTGTGCCCCCCAATCCCCAACGGCGGTAATAAGTCCAGGGATACCCCTGTCCAGGATGTGACAAAATTAGGATGGTGACAAGGTAACATTGTATCATTGAGTGGTAACAAGGTAACATTGCATCATCGGATGGTAACAAGGTAACATTGTATTATAGGCTGGTGACAAGGTAACATTGTATCATTGAGTGGTAACAAGGTAACATTGCATCATCGGATGGTGACAAGGTAACATTATATCATTGAGTGGTAACAAGATAATTGTTCACATTGTAACATTGTATCATCGGAAACTCGGGGTTGTGACTAATTGACTTACTGCCTGTGCATAGGCGCCGTATGCTCCGAACTGGATCGCCATGGGGTTGAACATTCCCATCTGCCCTGCCATTTGTTGCATGCGTCTCATTGTGCGCTCCTTGTCTGTGTCTGCAAACTTCACCACCAGGCTCGATGACGCACCCTAGAAAATAAAGAAGATGAATATATTAAATCTGACCTCCAACCTTCCCTTCAGTATTCTATCTGACCTCTGTCCTTCCCTTCACTCTTATTTGTGACCTCCGTCCTCCCCTTCAGTCTTCTATCTGACCTCCGTCCTTCACTTCAGTCTTATATGTGACCTCCGTCCTTCCCTTCAGCCTTCTATCTGACCTCCGTCCTTCCCTTCAGATTTTTATCTGACCTCCGTCCTTCCCTTCAGCCTTCTATCTGACCTCCGTCCTTCCCTTCAGATTTCTATCTGATCTCCGTCCTCCCCTTCACTCTTATATGTGACCTCCGTCCTACCCTTCACTCTTATATGTGACCTCCGTCCTTCCCTTCACTCTTATATGTGACCTCCATCCTTCCCTTCACTCTTATATGTGACCTCCGTCCTTCCCTTCAGCCTTCTATCTGAACTCTGTCCTTCCCTTCTGTCTTCTATCTGACGTCTGTCCTTCCCTTCACTCTTCTATCTGACCTCCGTCCTCCCCTTCAGTCTTCTATCTGACCTCCGTCCTTCCCTTCACTCTTATATCTGATCTCCGTCCTTCCCTTCAGTCTTCTATCTGACCTCCGACCTTCCCTTCAGTCTTATATCTGATCTCCGACCTTCCCTTCAGTCTTCTATCTGACCTCCGTCCTTCCCTTCAGTCTTCTATCTGACCTCCGACCTTCCCTTCAGTCTTATATCTGAACTCCGACCTTCCCTTCAGTCTTGCACAGTTGTACCGGCTCCTCTCCTGGACGGAAATTACTTCCTCTGATCTCGCCGCACACTGGGAGCTTCTCATAATGTGCATTAGAAGCTGCAGCCAGTCAGATAGAGCCTGCCTGTCCAGTATCATCTAACTCTTTCCTCCCCAGCCTGGCTGTCCCTGGTCCCGCCCCTTTCATTTATTGGATTTAGTTATTTCAATCATGGAGGTTCAGCATCACATGAAGGCATCACCTAGGGCGGACTTTATGCAAATACCGCCTGCCTAGGAACACCCACTCCACCAGACTGACATCCACCCATCAAGGCATTTTGATATTTGCATAACTCCTCCCAAGAGCCAGCCCACTGCATGCATCAGGGCTGAGGGCTGTTGAGAGGAGGCCAAAAGGTTTAATCGGCTAGATCATTGACCGCAAATGCAGAAGCAGCACAGTTTAATTAGGAGCACACCGCCAGACTCTGATTGGACAGTGAAGAAGCAGAAGAACACGGATGAAGTATCACTGCTCATCCTGTCGTCTTTTCCTAGCAGCTTGTCCACTATCAGCATATCTTCGCTGCCGCAGGGCTGGAATGGCTCCTAGTACTGCAGTTTGAGCAATGTAGCTGCTTCACCATGACTAGAAGATGTCATTACAGAGCAGTATAGAGTCATATAGGTTTGTTTTCACATTCTGTACAGTATATGTATATATATTCTTTTTTTTTGGCAGAGTGAAAAGCGTAGTTCCAACTTTATGTACCTGATGGTGGAATTTCCATGCGTGAAGAGCGATGACAAGGAGTATGGGATCGTGTACTATGAGAAGGTACTTTCGTTTAATTTTTTTATCCTGCACAACGTTGAGCTAAGCTGAGTACCATGAATGTGCAAAGTGCTGATATCTGCAGCCATTCGAATATTTAAAGTGGAATTCCAGGCGAACACATGCACAGTTTTAATATATATCACTACTGCACATCTCTCACATGTTAAATTCAACATTAATTTGACGTGATATTTATTTCGCAGAGATTACAGCAGCCCCAATTCCCCCGACAATGCCTCTATCTGCTTTTCTCTCCAGAAAGACATCACCATTTTGTTCTGGCATCATTCATAGTCACCATCTACTTCCTGGACTGAGATGGCACAATTATGTAAATCCCGGTGTCTGTGCAGTTCTGGACTGTGTTCACAAATGCCTGACACAGATTAGTCCCTGCTGCAGCCTCTTATCTTGTAACTTACTACAAACTTACAATGTACAGTCTGATCACCGGGGGAGGGGAGACTGAGGAAATGCTTCCTCCTGCCTGCAGCAGTCTGATTACTGGGGGATAGGAGACTGAGGAAATGCGTACTCCTGACTGCAACAGACTGATCCCTGGGGGAGGGGAGACTGAGGAAATGCTTCCTCCTGCCCGCAGCAGACTGATAACTGAGGGGAGACTGAGGAAATGCTTCCTCCTGCCTCAACAGACTGATCCCTGGGGGAGGGGAGACTGAGCAAATGCTTCCTCCTGCCCGCAGCAGACTGATCACTGGGGGAGGGGAGACTGAGGAAATGCCTCCTCCTGCCTGCAGCAGATTTATCACTGGGGGAGGGCAGACTGAGGAAATGCTTCCTCCTGCCTGCAACAGACTGATCACTGGGGGAGGGAGACAAAGGAAATGCTTCCTCCTGCCTGCAGCAGACTGATCCCTGGGGGAGGGGAGACTGAGCAAATGCTTCCTCCTGCCCGCAGCAGACTGATCACTGGGGGAGGGGAGACTGAGGAAATGCGTACTCCTGCCTGCAGCAGACTTATCACTGGGGGAGGGGAGACTGAGGAAATGCTTCCTCCTGCCTGCAGCAGACTGATCACTGGGGGAGAGGAGACTGAGGAAATGCTTCCTCCTGCCCGCAGCAGACTGATCACTGGGGGAGGGAGACAAAGGAAATGCTTCCTCCTGCCTGCAGCAGAGTGATATCATCAATGGCAAAGTTACTTGAGAGGTGCTCATGGGTAGCTTATTAATGATAAAAGGAGGACAGTACCCATCGGTGGAATCTCAGCCAACAAATCCGTGGCTCAGCAGTCCATACGTAGAGCCAATAGGACGCCCCAATCCTCTAAGGAGGATGGGAACAGAGTCAGGAAGAAGAGGTCCTTTCAGAGATAACGGAGGCCAGCAGGTTATTCAGCCCAGTGGGCTCCGCCTTTTACTCTTGGGAGGACTGGCCCTTTAAATGGGAATAGTTGTCTATTGATCAGGAATTCTAATTTCAAAGTAATGAAACGCGTGTCACGAGGAGTTACCGGGGCGACCAATTCCATCTTATGACAGCATAATGTTGGTATTGATCGGCCTCCTAATTGCGGCTCATCGACAAAGGAATATTCGTAACTTATACATTTCCTGTGAAGTCTCGGCCTGACCAGTCCGTGCCGCGGCTCGTTTAATGAACTCTGATCCGCCGCGATGGCCGCTAAGCCGGGCTTAATGACCTCTCTGTCCTCAGCGAGCAGGCTCCCGGGTCAGGTGCTCATCACCTTCCCCAGGTTGTCTCCCCATACTTAATGATTAATCTTTCTTAAACCCCTCCCCTTTTAGTTTCTTTGTCCCTCAAGCCCCTCCCACTTTTACACCTGTACAGGTGTCTGAGTGTCCCTACCAGCATGCACAGTTCAGCTCATAGCACAATGCATAGCCCACCTCACTTCCTGGCTGGAGGATGTCCAGCATCATCTAGCGCGTTCCTCCCCAGCCTGACTACACTTGGCCCGCCCCTTGTGTTCCTTAGCTTTCAGTTCTTTCAATCATGGAGGTGCCACACCACATGTGGGCGTTACCTAGGGCGGTCTTACATGAAAATGCAGCTTGCCTAGGAATGCCCACTCCCCCAAACTGACAGCCAACCATCAAGGCATTTTGATATGTGCATAACCCCTCCCAAGAGCCAGCCCATTGCTTGCATCAGGGCTGAAGACTCTTGAGAGGAGCACTGAGCTATGTATAGCACCCTGCTGCCCCCTCCCACCAGCTATGACCCTCCTGCATTACATTGAGAAGCATGGGAACTAGGGATGCACCGATTCCGGTATTTTTCGGTATCGAGTATGAGTACCGATAATTTGTTTCGGTACTCAATGATCCCGAATACCGATCCCGAAAGTCCCATTAAGGAAGCCAGGCGGCGTGTAATGACTCGCCTCCTGGCTTCCTGATTGGCCAGGAAGCCGGCTCAATGCTCCCTCTTCACTAGGTGTTGAGAAAGCATTAAGCCGGCTTTCTGGCCAATCAGGAAGC